CTGGCTGCTCTTACAGAAGGCCTGAATTTGGTTCCCAGCATCTACATCTGGTGGCTCTGACTCTGGCCACTGTGGGCACATGCACTCATATGCAAACACATACACATGATTTAAAATAACAATACATAAAGCTGCTTATAGCCTTAGGTTCCAAGAGACAAAGAAGCACAAGTAATATTTTGACCAAATGGTGTTTCAATACATAAAAGTACTAGAACAAACCCACCTTTAAGAAATGCCCCTGGGTTGGGGAGAGGGGTCAGTGGTTGAAGTGGTGGCTGAGAAAGTATGTGGACCAGAGTTTGCTCCCCAGGACTCACTTCACCATGTCCAGGTGGAAGTGGCAGAGACTGGGGAATTCCCCCAAGAAAGCTAGCTAATGACACTTTGTCTGTGTCTACTCTAGGTTTCATTGAGAGACTCGCTGCAATGAATGAGATGAGGAACGGATGGAAGATGAATTCTGATGGCAGCATCTAGTCACAACATGCACGTGTCTGCATGCATATACACTCACAACTGTTACCTACTCTTACACACATTTGAATGCACATGTATAGGAAACACACAGAGAGAAATGGAAAAGCAATGTTCAGGTGAGAGGTCTGCATGTTTTAAGTTTATGTCAGCCTGATGTGGCAGCATGATCTTATAATCCCAGCATTCGAGAGACTGAGGCAGGAGAATTGTCATGAGTAAAAGCGCAGCTTGGGCTACAGTGTGAAATCCTATCTCGATAAATAAAAACAAAACCAGAAGCTTTATGTCTACTGGAACTACTACAGAGATCATGCAGCATACGTTGGTCAACACACAAACTTGAAACTGTGCCTTTAGCTCATCTTGGGATCAGTCTTGGACCCAAACACAGTTATTCTTTTCTAGTTGTTCCAGAAGTTGAACATCTCTAGAGGGTCCAGGCTAAGATTGGTTTCTTTTAGATTTGTCCCCCACCTTCCAGCTCCACAGGAAACTCAACTACTTGACAAACAGCAAACAGAACTTCCCATGATTTCAGGCCTACAGATACAGGGTCTAGAACCCACCTCTGTGACTTTTCTGGTATTTTCTAAGTGGAAAGACAGCTTAGCCTCCCATTTCACCCATCTCAGACTTTATCAAAGGAGAGCTGATCAGAAAAGTGGGACTCTTGCTCCATTTCTCTTTGGCTAAAGTGCTCCGAAGAACCCAGAAAACCAACTTCTGACCTCCCCATTCCCCAAACTCATTTTTTAAAATTTTGACTTCTGAATCAACCCCAAATGACTAGTCAAGAACTCAAAAAACTATAGGGTGCCAAAGACATAGCTCAATAGTTTTTCGCTAGCATAGAGAAGGCCTTGGGTTTTATCTCTAGCAATATTAATAAATTTTTTTTTTACTGTCTGTCACTACGATATCACGGATAAATTCCCTTGCTCCCAATGTCTGGTCTGGAGCACTGGGAGGATCACAGGGCAGTAGACACACTGGAAGTTAACAGCTACCTATCACGGTGGCCACAACTGAATTCACACCGTAGCCTGCCTTGCAGTCTTCAAGAAGTCTGGTTTTTTTTTTTTTCCAGACATTTCAAACTGTCTCTTCACAAGAGGGACAAGGTGGCTCAGTCTAGGATTAAGACCAGCACTGGAAAGGGAAGGAGAAAGGACGCGTGGGTCGTTAGATGCTCACATATGCAAGGTCTCATACTTGGGATTTACATGTTTTCCTAGGGAACGCAAAAGATTTTTCCAGACTCACATTAACAAACAGCCTGTTATCATTTCTTGGAAAAGAAAGAAATCATGAGTTTGTATTAACCACCAAGCACCCACTCACAGCATGTGGTATTAATTGAAAGGCTTCTGGGAATAAAGTGTGGTCTCTGCATGGAGTTATAGCCATCTTTGACTGAAAGTACACTTAGAACTAAAATATTGAATAGTTAGCAAATTCTGAAAATAGTGAAGAACCTTAGAGTCCAGCCAGAGTGGGAAAAAATAGCATGAAAGGCAAAAAAAGGGAGAGAACTTAGAATTTTTTTTTTCCCTGAGATGAACTCTTGGAGGGCAATGAAAATTGTCTACTTGGAGCCAAGTGATTTTTTTCTAAGTTAAAACTTAAGTTTGCAAAATGCATGAAAGTGGCTGGTAGCTAAATTATTCCATCCTGCAAGTCAATGTACATGGAAATATTATGATATGATTTCAATTATTTGAAGAGATAAACATGGTAGAAAGTCAAAGTGGCAGGTTGTAAAACCCAGCATTCTCCTGCTCTGTCAGATGCCACATTAGAAGCAACTTCCTGGGGCTCTCACTTGGGCTGTGACTCTGGAAGCTTCAGAGGTTATCCAGAGTTAGTAAGCCCACGCACAGAAGATAATCATTCATTTATGAGTGTGATCCAAAACAGCAGCCAAGCTGAAAGTATAAAACAATAGAAAACCGAGATAGACGCCTACACAAACAATCGTGTGTGTTTGTGTGTGTGTGAGAGATGGTTCATAAAGTGACCACACAGATTTCACATGCAAACTTAGATGGCCCAAAAACACAACCACAGAGTCAGACTGAACTGAATTGAGAGCAGAACACACAGCAGTTCTGGCCCTCTCGAAAAATTCCATGTAGGTTTGCACAGAATCAATTAATAAGTGAACGGGAAGCTTGACAGATGAGTAAGCCCTTTCCCACAATTTTAAAGACGAAAAAGACACAGCACTCAACAGGGATCGTGACAGAAGAAACTGCCGTGGGCAAGGAGGCTGAGGCTGGTCTCCACAGCCTCCCCAGCCTCCCCCTCCACCTCCCACCAGACTCCTCGGTCTTACTCCATTTCCTAATTTTGGGGGCTGCACTGCCGAGCTGTTTATTAAAACAGCGTACAATGAAAACATTCCATTCCTCTATTCTATGAACCCCTGTAATTTTCTCCCTCCTCCTGGACAGAGGCCACTAGGACAGGAAAGCTTCAGGAAAAAAAAAATTCAAAAGCAGAGCAGTGAAAGCAAAGAAAACAATAGACAGCCTGGCTTTGACAATGCCTTCCCTCAGTCCCCCTTTCTATGCCTGCTGTGACACTGGCATTCAAGAGCAAGGGTGGCTGCCATCTGATGCATGGACAATGAACTGAGAAATACAAGGCAGAAGGGGGAAGGAAACCGGATGAATTCTGAGCTAAGATGCAGGGCTCTCACCTTGTCCAGGTTATTATTATTATTATTATCATTTTTGCAAAGAGGCTGGATGGAGGCGTCCCGCAGAGAAGAGGAGAAAAAGGTGTCTTGAATTGTTGAGAGGTTCTGAAGCTTTCTGCATTTGCAAATGCATTTAGAACTGTTTGCAGGGTTATGCTCTCTCTCTCTCTCTCTCTCTCTCTCTCTCTCTCTCTCTCTCTCTCTGTCTCTCTCTCTCTCGTCTTATGCCCTACAAACCTCCATCTCACCTCTCTGTTGGTATGAAGACCGACCTTCTGCCTGTGTAAGGGAGCCTGCGTGTTCCTCAGTATTTGCATCGGGACACACACCTGCATGCATTTCTGGCCGAAGGAGCCTATCACGGGGACTAGAGATATCAATTAGTCAGCAATAGCTGAGGCTCTCAACGCCTGTGATGGAACAAAGGTGGAAAATCTCACTTCTGTCCCAGCAGCTGGATCATGCATCGCAGACTGTACAAAGCAATGCCTTTCTCTGTTTTTTCCTCCTACTTACGCCTAACTCTATGTCCTCCTCTGGTTATTAACAAACCCAGCCCAGTAATTAGCTGTGGCGCATCCACAAACATGTGTGTTTCTTGGGCATCATTGGAAACAAGACGTGTTAAGCAAATGCCTTAAGACAAATACGAGCTTACAGCATATTTGATCCTTACTTCCTTTTATCCAGTTGTCACCAGGAGCTAAAAGTAACTGTGTGGCTAACGTTCTTTGTCTGTCTCGGTGGTTTCTGTGAAAGAAACTAAGGAAATTTAGCAGAGAAGAAAAGCAAAAGAAAACGTTCAGCTGCAGAAAAGCATCCTGGGAGGTTCATTCTTCTCCTCAGCGAAAAAGCACTTCAAGATTTACAGGCAGCCTAGATTTTTGGCTAACTGGAGTGTTTGTTTTTGGGAGGGGTGTGCATGTTGGGGTGTTTAGTTGCTTTTGGAGATTAACAGCTTGTGTTGGACATGCCTGTGCTCGCTTGCGCTGGCTGGATTCTGAGCTCGCTCGCCATCTGAAATAAAATATCTCATTTTACAGAAACCTTCACACAACCTACGGGAAAACAATGGGTTGCCTTCAGTGGCCAAGGACACAGAAATATTGCTAACCTGAAAACAGGGGAGAGAGACTAACAATCGCTCTCCCACACTTTCAAATTTCCAGAGGAATGGTGGGGTCTGGAGCCGAGTTTGTATGTGTGCTTTGTGTCCCTCCTTTCCCATACGTGGGAACTGGGATTTCTTTCATTAGTGCTTCTTGTTAGAATTAAAGTCATTTCCAACTAGACACAAAATATCGTGATGTTCTTTGACTCTGCAAAGGAGACAGTAGTCTCAACTGGAGACTTTTTTTTCCCCTGTAGCTGAGCTGGAACAGGAGTGCAAGCAGCCGCACAGCATTCTCTGTGGTCCGTCTACTCTGATCTCTTTTCTTGAGATTATCACTCTAAAGAGCCATTTCTGTATTCTCCCTCCCTGAGCACAACAGCTCAACAATAATTTCTCCCCTTTTAACACGTGAGGTAGCCACAGAAACTAAGAAATTTGGAGCTGACATTCAAAGAGAGACCCCCAAAACAACAGATCATTAAAAAAAAAAAAAACCTGTTTACAGAGACAGGGAATGAGAGGCTAGCAAGCTTTCCTAACGAGAGGAAGTGCTACAAACCTTAGAGAGAGACTCAGATCAGAATAGATCAAGGGTAGAGAAGGGCTAAGGAACCCCCTCGAACCCTGGGCACTTAGAGGAAAAAAAAACTAACAAGGTTGAGGAGGAGAAAGGAAATGTGCAAAATAGCCAGCGAGGTGACCCACCGTCCTGCGTGCGCCTTGACTCTTGCCGAGGGGAGTAACAGCCACAGCAGTGACATCGGAGTTCTAGCGGGTCAGGTGCCACCTCTGCCCAGCGCTCTCGCCCTCCCCAGCAGGACAGAAAACCATGCCCGAGACAGAGAAGGAGCAAGCTGGCGCCACCGCCAAGTCACAGGCCCCCATCAGCACCGGCTGGTCTCTGAAAGCCTTGGATCAAGGGTCCCATTCAAAGGCAACGAGGAAGCAGACAGTGGCAAATCAGACCCTGGCGGGCCTTCTGGAATAATTTAACTCCTCGCTCCAGCATTTAGATGGGGATAGCGAGAAACACAGGCGAGAGCTCCTTCACACCGAGGCGTGAGCATATGCCTGCGTCTCGGTGGATGTATTTTTAGACACGCTGTCGTGGGCAAGGCAGCCTGCGACAGCTTTTGCTTCCCAACGTGGGTGCCGCCTTCTCTGCAGCCTGAAAGCAGCTGAGGGAGTCCAGGGTAGCGATGCACATCTCTTGGCAAGCCAAAGGTCAGACAGGGGAACACCACCACCCCCCCTTATATATAAAAAAAAAAGGAAGTCAGTAAGCCATTGTCCCTGTGCTCAGAAAGCATTCAAAACATTTTCAAGATGTGTTCTAGAAGGAGGTCGTGCTCTGTGGCCCTGTGTGCACTTCCTGTCTTTGCTGGCTAAAAGCAGTAGCAGGATTCAGACACACCTTGAGGAAGAAAATTCAGGCATACACGCGCCATAAGAGTGAGAACATTAGGCAGGACCTGTGTTGCTTATAACATGTACTAAGTTTGTAAATTCATCCAGACTATAGAACTGTATTATTCCAGAAGAGTAAGAGGCGAATGAGGCTTTGTGGCAGATTCAAATGTGCTGTTGAGATCTAGTTCTCTAACATGAAATAACTAAAAAATAAACTCACATCTCATTAAAATGTAGTAAACACAAACACCTGGGCATTGCATTGTGAACTAAAGCAACAAGGTCGGGTGTGCTCTTAGCTGACCTGGAGATTCCTCCCCCACTGAGATATTTTAGAAAACTCCCTTTTATGAAATATGTATGTGGACATCCCCGACACATATAAAATTCTCTAGTGGATTTTATGGAAGAAATCTATGGAAGAGTCGGTTAAGCAATAAAAGTAGCGAGCCAGCCGTAAACAAGATCTCTAACTACATGCCGGTATTCTCGCGTGTTTCATGTGTTCTCGTTCATGTGTAGAAGGAGTACGGACAGGATGGAAATGGGCGAGGACAAGCTTGGGGCAGGCGCTGCCGCAGCTAAGATGCTTAAGACGTAAACAAAATGTCTGCCTTCCGCATTTGGGAGTTGGGTTTGGGATTGGTTTATTTTTCTCTTCTTCACTGTCGTATGTAGGTAATCAGCAGAGAGAGGGTTGCGGAATGGCTTACTTCCACCGCCGCAGAGAAGCACTCCGAGTTTTGATTTTCCTTTAAGAGCAGAGGCAGTGTACAATTTCGCATTGTAAATCTCACAAGGCCTGAATAAAGCTCTCTCAGGGACTGACAAAGAAAGAATAATTCACGTCCGACCAAAGGGCTCCTTTCAGACAGATCTGGGCCCAAATGCATGGAGAATCCCGAGTCCAACTCTCCATCACACTTTGCTGGGCTTTCAATTAATGACAGGGCAACTAGATCGATAGAATGTAATAAGAAAAGAGCTTTGCATTTCTGTAGCTATTAATTCGCTGAGTAACTCCAGCAGTGAAACGTGACTGGAAAGGAAAAACACTTCGGGAGATGGATGCTCTTAGCACACCAGGCAATGTCTCCCCCAGTCCAAGAATGAGCGCTGCAGCTTCTCCCTTCCAACCAGTGTTGTTGGGATTGAGTGAGGGGCTTGTCCTATCAAGACTGAGTCTACCTTTTCATCAAAAGACCCTGCAATACACTAACAGGGCGGTATGGTCAAATGGGCCTTTGCTCAGGATTTTGGTGCAGATACCCCGATGTGCTAGTCACAGAATGTGTGAATGGGAGGGGTGGTCATTGTTCTCTGCCTAGGAAGGCAACCCTGTGCCACCAGATCCCTGATCTTGGTTTTCAGTGGCAATCTGCAGAGAGCAAAGGCTGGAGAAAGGACAGACGAATGCGCATGCTCACGGAGCTCTGCCACTGTCCGGATGACCACAAACAGTGAGGGATGTTCCCGGGAAGCCCTGTGTCTCTGCCTGCTCCATATTTATCACCAGAGACAGACCAAGATAAAGAGCGTATTCTCCGTGGCAGGGCAGCAAAGGACTGGTCTAGGGTGTCCCTGTAATCCTGGTTTTTAGACATTTAGTGTCACTAGGGCTTCAGAAATATCCAAAATATTAAGATGCATGAAAAGCACTATCCTTCTGCTAATTAGTCTTGAGAACCCTGAGTATCAGATACCAAGCGGTCAGCTCTAAAAACAAACACACGCAACACCAAATGGACTGAGCCGGTTGCTCGTGCTTATATATTTGTGCACACACATGCATATGCAATAATAACTAAAGAAAAGGAGACTGCAATGGAGGGGAACTGGGAGCAATACAGCAGGGGTTGAAGTGAGGAGAGAAAAGGAAATGATGCAGTTGTATTTAATTTTAAAAAATGAGACACCTTAAAAATATAGTCTTACCGTAATGATTAAATGAGAAAATATGCATAGAAAATTCTATAAACTGTTCAGCAATTCTGCCCCAGGGAAGATTTGCCTCTACCTCTTGCATCCTGGGATTACAAGCAGGGCTCCAAAGTCCACTCAGCTTTCACATGGGTGCTGGGCATCTGATCGCCAGTCCTCTCATTTGCATGGCAGGCACTTTACCCATCGGGGCCATCTCGGCAAGCCCAGAAGCAGTTTTTAAAAGCATTCTTTTTGTTACTTAGGCATGATAATCCTTAACTAATGAAATGAGACAATGGATAAGAGAGCTTAAGAGAATTGCTACAGAGTGTCGAGCTTTATTAAGACATCGGGCTTAGAGGCAGGAGAGATGGTTCAGCAGTTAAGAATGTGTTGCTCTTCCAGAGGACCCCGGTTCGATTCCCAGTGCCCACATGAGGCAGCTCATGACTGCTTAGAACACCAGTTCCAACCCAATCAGAAGCCTCTTTGCTCTGCAGACACTTGCACTCACATGCTCATACCCACATACATACACATAATTTAAATAAATCTATAAAAGCACCTTCGTGTTAATGAACTATGCGTGGTTAATACAATATTTGGAGACTTGTAGAAATCACAAACAAACTAACAGCCTGCTTCCATAGGTGTGGTAAATAAGAGTGCCATCTTCTCCCTTTAGAAGAAAATTATAGTAGTTGCAAGAACAAGAACATTCACTCTGTGTCAGATGATCTAGAGAGTGTGAAGGGTTTCACTTCAACAACTATTTTATCCTCACAATATCCTCAAGACATAAATGATGGTGTTATCACCAGTATTTGGCAGATACAAAAGTGAAGCACAGAAAGGTCAAGTGACTTTCTCTAGGACACAGAGCAGGTGCATAACAGAGCCAAAGTCATACCCAGATAAATTGATACCAAAGTCCGTGCTCGTTTTCTTTATAGATCTTCATCAGTCTGAACTTCAGAGCAAAATAGGACCAAAATGCCTAACAAGAAAATTGCGGGAGAAAAAGAGGACCAATCTGCAGAGCTGAGTAAAGTCACACCCGGAAACAAAAGGGAGCAGAGAGACCTCATTCATTTGTGGAGGGAGAACAGCTCTGCCACAGAGTGATCCTATTCAAGGAAGGCTTAAAAATCTGATCTCAGCCCAGGGGACAGGCATTCTGATGGCAAAACAGGAGTTGAAAACAGAAAGTCCCTTTTTCTATGAAAAATATCCTTTAAGACAGTAGGATGATGAGGCAAGAAATAGCCGGATCCAGTGTCCCCAGAAGAACACTTCTCAGTAGGAATAGTATCTGCCTTCATGATAACTATTCCTCAAATTCTTGTCTATGGACACTACCTGGGTAGCCAGTAAGAGTGGTTCACGCTGATAATTCTAGCATCCCACGGCAGGTGGGAGAATTACTGTGTGACCAAGACCAGCCTGAACCTACATAGCGAGTTCCAGAATAGTCTATATTATATAAGACTTGTCTCATTAACAAAAAAAAATGAAGCACCTGGGGAAGCTTTGCAGGGCCTGTAGAATGTGTTGCCTCCGGGATTCGCCGTCCAGACCCCCAGGGACACATGCAATGTGCTTTTCAAGAGAAGCCATGTGCACCAGCCCAGGCACCACATGAGGAAAGAAGCCACTGCCCTTCTCTCTGCCCCAGATGTTTAAGGGAAACTAATCAGTCATAATTCAAATAGTGCAGGTGCACACACTTTAGAGATGCCAATTACTTTTCTGAGTATAATAACACAGATCTGTTACCAAAAAATTAGGGGGACAGATACGAAAGCCAAACAAGCCAAACAGATGACAATTAAATCATCCATAATAATAGCTACAGATAGCCACTTCGGATTTGATGACTCTCCTCCTCTTCCTTTGCATGTACAAATGTTTACCCCATACCTATAAACATTGTTACAAGAAATGGATCACAACAGCTAGTTTTTCTTCCTACCCTCTCACCTGATAGATAAGTTCAAACACATGCTAACAACTACGGACTATTCTACATAATCAATATAACTTTCTTAGTCATTCCACCAATATTGGACTGCTTCCAACTCTTAGGCTACAAGTACAATTATAAAAGGCATTCTTTTAACTTAAGCTCATGATGGTTTACTTTAGTAGAGATCAAAAGTGGGTTTATTAAATCAAAATATTTGCAGTGTATTGTGTGTCTACTAAATAGGAAGTTTGGTCATTTTATGTAGTTATCAGATAGGGATTCCATGTCTCTGCAGTGTTTCCATTTCTGCCACTTATTAACAGCAATGGTGAGTGAGGACAGTGGACTGACTGGTATTTCGAGAATCCATTGAGCACTTCTTCCGAGTTTACTTACACCTTATCCACATCCTCTTTTTATCATCTATACTGCATCAGTATTGTCTTTCTTATTGATTTATAAGATACCCTCATGTGCGTTTATGTATACTTTTTTCTATAGTCGGTCAATCATCATATAGACATTACTTTTTAAAGAATGTGGGGGTGTAGACACATGTAAATGTAGGAATCTGTATGTTTGGGTCCATGCGTATGTGTGTAGAGGCCAGGGGTTAGTATTAGGTGTCTTTCTTGATTGCTCACCACCTCAATTCTTCAGAGAGAATCAGTACATGCAGACCTCATGAACTCATACAGACTAGCTGGACAGTGAGCTCCAAGAATCTGTTTGAATCCATCCTCATACTACTGTTACAGACATGCACCA